GGGGGGGGGGGGGGGGGGGGAATTAGGTCACGAGTGCAGAGACCTCCCAGCCAATCAACTAGTAATGACCTTTGTATGATCGGCTATCTCAAAATCTTATTTAATGGCTACGCCCTGTGTCCCAGTGACAACATACCCATTAGCATCATCATCATCACAACATCAATAAACGCAATACACATTATAGGTTTTGTTGCCTCGATAATGTTGAGGTGGGGTGTGTGATAGACTTACCTCCACATGATGCATCCTAGGCAACGTATACTCATACAGCAAAAAAGTCCATTAACCGGCAGTTGACTTCTCACTTCAAATTACCATGATCCCACCGTTTGCCATATTCCACTACTTCCACAGAACACACCTTGCATTTTTCTCTGCCTTTGTGTCTGTCTCTTTACATCTTTGAAACACTCTTCTGTCCCCTCCCCTCTCGACTTATTGTCACTTTGACGTTACTCCTCATCTCTGAGAGGCCCGAAGTCAGCTAAAGGGTTAATGATAACTATCAAACCGCCAGCCATTTGAAATTAATTACTAACTGTAATTTTGAGGTAGCATAGCCAACTTCAAGAGCATTTTTGCCACGGAGATTACTTATGCATGTAGCCTTCCTCTCCACACCACCTCATTGATTATCGAGTTTCAGCCTCCGTCACATCTCGCCTCAGCCCAAATTTAACTTGATCTTAGATGTACTCGAAAAATCTCACAAGCTTCACATCACGACTATTGGATTACTAATTATTGAATTTCTTCGCCCACACGTCTCCACAACTCCACATTACTACTTTCTGGTGATCACTTGCAGCTTCATAAAAAGACCTCACATCATACAACTCATCTATCTCAATTAAAAACCACGTCAGAGAAGGGTTTCACATTGTTCATAGGAAATCCTGGGCATTTTGAACAAGGCAATCGGTTGCACTGGGGCAGGCCAGAAGCGCCCAACAGGGTGGGGAAGTTGTGACCAAGAAAAGAGTGATACACAGACTGAGGGAACTTATCACCTACGCCCACAAAGACGGCTAAATAAATCAGTTGAACGAGAGAGAAGGCTGGTGGGGGTTCTTACAAATGGAAATAATAAGTTCAGAAGTAAGGTTCACGGCTCATGACGACAGCATCTCAGCCCTCCTGACCGAAATCCCTTGTGAAGTCGTTTTG